GAAGTGAATGAGACCAAGGTTAAGAGTGAAATGAAGCCATGGCACAAAGTCATGTTTGAATTTGTCAACAAGTACTTACTGCCTAGGCAGGAAAGAAGGCACATTGCTAACTACATGGACTTGGTTTTGATGGATTGTCTTGAAAATGGAAGGCAGATCAACTGGCCTGCATTTATTATCAAGCTACTGGACATGGTTATCTATGGCTCCAAGGCCCATGCCACTCCTTATGGGTTTATTCTGACTATTGTTCTTGATCGTTGTAAGGTGCCACTAAAGAAGTGGGAAATGGCCACAAGCAAAAACCATTTTGGAATCAACACTTTGATTACTTGTGACTATGAGGTTAATACCATTCCCAATGAACCTGGTTCATCTAAAAAGACACCGATCAATAGTAAAGTCAGAGCTTTAGTGTAGGAGAATGGGGCAAAGGATGCTGAGATAGCTAGGCTGAAGGCTCGTTTAGCAGAGGTTGAATCTGAGAGAGATGCTCTCAGAACTGAGGTCACAAAGGAAAATGAGAAGAATGATGTCATTCTTCAAGACATGATGCACCTTCTCCAAGCCAAAACCTAACCCTCTAGTTTTTCAAAGCCTTGAGTTCTTTAGCCTTCAGTTCCTGAACCTTGTCTAGACCTTTCAGTGACCCAGATTAGAGATTTTTCTTGTTTTGCTCATGTTTTGAATGTTTATGTTTCTTTTTATGGATTGTGGCAGAATCATATTCTCTATCAACGAAGTTTGCTATTTTTGCTCTTGTTGACTGTTTATATTTCATTGATAGTTTGAATATGTTTGGTTGATTACTGATGATTGATCCATAATTGCACTTGCAGTTGCCCCAGTGGCCATGAGTAATTTTTAAAATTTGAGAATCACACTTTTATTATGCAACTTTTCGATGATCCCAAAAGGGGGAAGAGATATTGTGCTTTTATTCTGAATAAGTGATGTTTATAACCTAATGAACCTGGTCCTTGATGATAAGTGAAAAACTTCTAACTTTGCACTGATGATTGAGCTGAGTTCTGACAGGGCCTAAGTGAGTGAAAAGCACAGAGTTTGTCATCATCAAAAAGGGAGAATTTGTTGGCCCAAGTAAAGGTGAGTTTTGAAGACTCACAAAGGAACTCAGACATGGACCAGGTTCATCCTAGTGAGGCACAGATATGGTCAACTCAAGCATGAGAGATGCACGTGAAGGAGATAAATCTAACTTACCAGAAGTGATATCTCCTAATCATGATCGAAAAGGTTGCATATTGGATAAGGAGAAAGACTCTTTACACAAAGAGAACACGATTTAAGAGATGGATAGAGTTAGAGGATGAGACCAACTAGAACTCTTCCACCAAGGAAGAGTAGCATCCGAATTCTAGTCAATCTCTATTTACTAACTCCTTAATTATCAGTGTTGTTCTCTTTTACAGATAACACACATAAGCAGAAGTAAAACGTGAATTGAGAGTAAAATAGCAAGGCAATTTTGCGAGTAATTTGTGTGTGATTCAAGCGTGCAAAGTTAGAAGTTTTTCACTTATCATCAATTGTAGTTCCAAGAGTCTGTCTTTTATTCTAGTTCAATTGTAGTAGGTGTTTTCATATTGTACCTTTCAGCTTATCTAGAAGCAATTATATTAGGTACTCAGAGTTTTCAAGTTAGAGTTAACTTGAAGTTGTCGCAACAGTTGAGGTTGTGTGCTTCAATGGGATTAGAGTTAATCCTAGGTTTACAAAAGAGTTTTTGTAAATGCGGTTTTTGGCTCAGTGATTTTAGTGGAGAGTTTGGGAAAATCCTACTGGAAAGTAGGTCGTAGTTTTTTCACCTTTTGAGCCAGGTGTTTTCCACGTAAAATCTCTGTATTCTTTAATTTCTGTACTTATTATTCCGCAATAGTAGTAGTTGGAACACGTAGAAGAACTAGGTCTTTCTATAATCAGGTTAAACGAAAAATTGGGCACCACACAAATTACCCCCTTGTGTGACATTGAAGTATAAAACATCACGAACGCTGGTAGAAAACCAAAAATATATATGGATGCAGTAGGGAGCAAATCCAGGTTGAAACGTATGAAAATCCGAAATTGTGGAAATTAACTGTTGCTGTACTTCAACATGAGGAACAACCACAAATGCATAAAGTTCAACCTGACCATGCAGTTCAAAGTAAGATCTCTAGTAAAACTTTAGGTACAAGTTGACATATACCGCATATTCAAAGCACAATAACATGGCATGTCGAGATTCCAAACAAGTACTGCTAAAGGTATAAAAATCGAATTTCCACTTTAAAGCTTACTTGGAAGTCTCAATGCAAAGCATATCCAAGTACTGAGAAAGGGAAACAAAAAGAAAATAAAGTGATAAAAGATGAAATAATTTTCTGAACCAATCAAGTAGAAATCATTAACCTTTTGGTAACTTTGTATTGAAGAGGTTACGGAAATACATCAACAACATGTTATCCTTGCTTAATTGACTTGCTTCAAAATTCACCTAAAAAATAGTTGTTGTACTCTCTGGAGTAAGGTTTGCGCATATGTTATCCTCTCTGGACTCTACTTGTGAAATTAAATTGGATTTGTTGTTGTACTTTTCCTCCAAATCCATTGAGTTTCATAGAGAAAATTCAATTACAAACAACTAATTTAAAATTAATAAAAACAAAAGTGTTACCCTTTTTTCATCTTCAACTAATTAATCGAGGCTATTTTGATTCAATCCCTAAAAATTGATTTTGAAACCTATTTTGATGCACTCATAGAAATGGAGTTTCTTATCCGGTCAGATTCGAGCCATGTACCATATGAAATATTTTGAAAATTTTATTTAGTTTCTCCAATGTATAAAAAAATACATATTAAAAAAAGTTACTACATTAAACTCAAATCCATTTGATATATTTCTATCATTTCCTTTCTTATCTTTTTCTTTAAAACAAAATTCTTGCTGATCTTGAAAACCTAAATTGTTCTTTTCCACAACCAGAAGAAAAGCAAAAGGTTTCCTCATGCTCAAAACTGAAAATAAACAAAAGATAACGAAAGAAAATAAAGAATCCCAGAAAAAGGTGCTTTGCAGTGGCAAATAGGTCATTATCCCTTATTAAAATATAACAACGTCAACTTATATTATACGGCAGAGAAAGATTAATTAATAGAGTGACTGATTAGGAAAGAAACTTACTGCCAAGAAAATGGCATAGAAGTGTTGAGAGACACAATATATTAAAAAACCAGCAGAAATATATACATTTAATAAAATATAATGTTTTATATATATATATATAGTTAAAGTAAAGGTGTCTAACGGGCCGGGTCAACCAGTTTCCGGACCGGCCCAGATCGGTTAAAACGGGAACCGGCCCGGACCGGTAGAAGGGCGCCGGGTGGGGCTGGATTATAGGGGTAGGGCAGTTTGTACCGTTCACTTTTGAACCACCGATTAACCGGACCGGTCAAACCCGGTCAACGAACAATACTGTTCATCCGGTTAACCGGCCCGGCCCAGACCGGTTTAACGGTAACAATTTTTTTTTTAAGCTTGGACCTCAGATTTTAACCGTTGGCAACGGTCCATTTCACAATATAGTCGTTGCCCAACGGCTGAAATTGACATTTAGCCCAATTTTTAGGTTTTTTTTTTTGAAAAAATTAACCCCCTTTGAAAAACTATAAATACACCCCATCTCTTCCTCATTTCTTCACTCTTCTCTCAATTCTCAATTCAAGTTAAATCATTCCTCGTACTTCTAGAGTGCGCTCATATGTTTGGGAACACTTTGAGGTGGTAGAAGAAAATGAAGAAGTTCAGAAAGTAAAGTGCAAGAATTGTGGTCAAGTCTTAAATCTTCGTTCAAAGTCTGGTGCAGGCAGTTTAAGGAGGCATATAAAGAATTGTCTTAAGCGTCCTCCGGAAATTCGTATTTAAGTTGATTTGAGATAATTTGTGTTATTTTAAAATTATTAGACGTATTTATGCTTAATGTTTTAGTTTGTTAGATTAATTTGAAGTATTATTATGCCTGAAAATTTAGTTTTACTATTTTTTTGTTAATTTACTTGTTAAATGCAAACTTCAATTTTGTAATTTTGAAATAAATGTAGCACTTGCAATTTATAAGTGCAATTTTTTTCTATCTTCATTGTATTCTTTATATTTTTACTTTATATTAATATAACTTACAATAATTATACAAATATAAAATACAAAAAAAAAAATTAAAAATAACAATAACCCGGCCCGAGCCGGCCCCATAAACCCGTAACCCTTACGGTTCAATTTTTACCCGAATGAACCCGAACCCGTTAAACCCGCTATGCCCTAACTCATAATCGGCCCGGACCATAACCCGTACGGACCATAACCCGGCCCACCCGTTAAACACCTATACCATAAAGCTTACGTTCCAAGTCTAAAGGGTCTTCACTTAGCCAGAAGTTGCATATGGTTATGTAAAAATTGAGTCATATTTTGACAGGAATGTCAGATACATACAGATTAGTGGGCACTCAACAACTCTGTTTGTCTTAACATACAAGCATTTCCCTTAGCTCACTCAAGTTCTGATGTTCTCTTTGTTTTATCCTCATATTATATACATTATATATCTCTACCCCTTCTTTCCTTTGCTTCACCTTCACTCTTGTCTTTCTAAGTTATATTTTTAGTTTTGCTTTTGAACCAATTGACTAAGCATTTTTTTTGTAATACCAAGAACACAACTTTTTCCGTTTGTCTTCATGCTTATTATAGAATAAGTTGTTGTTTTCTTCTCAAATCTATGTGGGTATTTTCCAAGATCAAATCTTTACTAGGTTTTAAGTTGTTTTATTGAGTAAATTCCAAAAGAGACTCTTAATTTGAGGTGTTTTCTTTATTTGGCTTTAATGGATGTTTCTTGTGATCTTGAAATGGATGTCAATGGTGAAGAAATCTTTATTGTTGATAAGGTAAATTTTCTTTCTTTCTTTCTTTTAGCTTTCTGTCTCAAGCTCTGCATTTCCTCTCCCTTTTCTTTTTTTGTTTCTTTGTCCAAATGATATCTTGTCAATTATGTTATTCTGTTTTTAGTTCAAATTCTCAGTTCTTGGCTTGTTTTCTCCTCTATTTTCTCCACACAAAAAAAAATCTGTGCGCAAAATTGTGTGAAGGCAGGGTAGCACACTATCTATCCAGACCCTACTTGTTGGATTCCACTGTATTTGTTGTTGTGTGCAAAATTGTATTCCCCCCTCCCCCCAAAAATGGTGTTCTGTTTAACTTGGCTTCATTTCTTTCCATTGTGTGCTACTGTTAAGTTCAGAGATCATTCTCCTTCATGTTTATGTGTTGTCTTTTAACTATATCTACATTATTGTCTTTAACTTTTCCTACCCATGTTTAACCAAAAATTAAATTCTGTACCTATATTATTGATAAGTGGGGCTAAGTTTGTATTACTCCAGCTTACTTCTTTTTCTCCAATGTGACTTGTAAGCTCACCGCCCTTCGTTTTTGTATGTTTCCTCGCATTTATTATTGATATTATTATGAGGTTTAAATGTTCTAACCTCTTTTAAATTTGGTTCTTTCACATCTTTTTAGAGTATGACCAAAAAGGTTGCTCTCATTTCCACTCATTACTGTGCTTTCCCTACTTTGGCTGGTACATCACTGACTTTTTTCCTCAATTCCTCTCCCCAAATTTAATTTGGTATAACGACCTGTCATCATTCTTTTTGGAAATTCTTTAGATTATTCCATTAAATTTCTGCTTTTGTGTGGTTTAATTTAATGCCCTTCATAAGGTTCTTAGTATTCTGAAATAATTGATTGATAAGTCACTAATATGCTTGTGTTGTTATCTGATTGTGTTTTGTTATAAATTTGTGCAGAATGTTATATGTTCTTATTCAGGAAGAATAAATAAATTATTTGGGAAAACAAAACGAGGGACAAAATATTTAAAGGTGATATTTCATGATTTCCCTGGTGGAGCTGAGAGTTTTGAGCTCATTACAAGATTCTGTTACAACAAAGGGAAGATTGAGATAAACCACATTAATGTTTCAACTCTGTATTGTGCTGCCTGTTATATGGAAATGGAGAAATCTGTATCCGGAAACCAAAATCTATTCGAGCTAACTGAGAATTCGCTTGCGGATATAAGGTATTGGACTTGGTCTGAGCTTCTTGATGCCTTAAAGCAATGTCAAAATTTGATTCCTGTGGCAAGTTCTTCAGGTGTAATTGATAAGTACCTCGATTCTCTTATCGGGAGAGTTGCATCTTCCTGTGAAACCAGTCCTTGTCCGTCGACTTCTTCTGCTGACAGTTCTGGATTTCGGTTGTCTTGTGATTCAAAAAGTACAGAGAGCTTTAAAAATAGCATATTTAGGGCAACATGGTGGTTTGAGGATCTAGCTGCTTTCGAGCCCTTTTTGATCGATATTTTGGCAAAGCAAATGGTATCCAGAAATCTTGATCATGGTATTCTTAGTAAGTTTTTGTTCTATTACCAAAAATCAAGATTTGCATCGGCCAAAATAATGGATGAGAAATGCAAGACGATGGAGACAGTTATCGAGATGCTTTATTTGCTAGATTTAAGCTGCATTTCCTTCAAAACCTTATTTGGAATGCTTCGAATTACTCTGAATTTGAAGATAAGCAAGTGCTCGAGGAACAAGTTAGAGAGCATGATTGGTTCCCTGTTGGATCAAGCGACTTTGGATAACCTGCTGCTCCCATCACCAGTTGGATCAAGTTATTTATATGATGTGAATTTAGTTCTTAGGTTGCTGAAATCATTTATTAGCAAAGGGGCATGTTGTGTTCCATTAACACGATTGAAGAAAGTTGCTAGCTTGATCGACTTGTACATAGCAGAAGTAGCTCCTGATCCATGTCTAAAACCTTACAAGTTTCTTGCACTGGTCAAATCGCTGCCTGAATCTGCTAGGGACTCATATGATGCAATCTACCACGCCACGGTGATGTATTTTGAGGTAAGCTTAAAGAACAATACAATTTCTATATAATAGTCATTCACTATAAAAGCCAAGTTTTTTCTCAAACTGGTTTTCATGTTATGTTATAATATGTCCTCTGTAACAGCACTTTACTATAGCAGCCAAAAAATATCGGAACAAATGAGAGGTTGTTAATTGTTGAATGGTCTTCAACTTTGTACTCGTTTCTTTGTATTATAAAGCTTATTTAAACTGATACAAACACATATATTCACTAGTTCATGTTCAAGAATGTGGCAAATTATTTAGGCATTGTTCCAAAATGTAGATGGTTGATCGAACATTGATGATCGATGAAAAATTGCAGGTACATTCAGGGTTATGTGAAGAGGAAAAGATGAAAGTATGTAGTGGACTGAAGTATGAGAAGCTGTCAACAGAGGGTTGTAACCACTTAGCTCAGAACAAGAAATTCCCTACAAAATCTGCTGGACAAGCTCTCATCACACAGCAAGTGAGGCTCAAAAGCTTGCTTCAAGAAACCAATCAAGCCAGTCCTTATATCAATTCGCCTTGTAGTTTTGTGGAAACAGAAAATACAGGTAAGGAAGATCAGCAGATCGTGCTATACGCAGGAAAGCTGGATCTTTCGACTGAGAATGAGAAACTTAAAGTACATTTACAAGGTATGCAATGTAGAGTGCTAGAATTGGAAAAAGTTTGCAGGAAAATGCAAAATCAGATGGCAAAGATGTTGAAATCAAGAGTATCAAGCCATAACAATGCAAGATCTTTGCCTAGGCTATGTTCTTGATTGAGATAATAAATCCAATCATTCTTAAGTATTTACTTTATTAATGTTATTATGAATGTGTGTAAATAGAAATTAGTGGTTTGTTTGAATTGCAAGAGTACTTTTACCCCACCACTTACTTTTCTGGCTGTCAATAGTAGGGTGATTGGGACTAATCAATTGTTTTACAGAGTATAAAAGTTTGGCTGTATATAAACAGAAACTGAAAAAAACAACATGGTAGACATGCAGAAACTGTTTGAGCATATATAGGAATAAAAAGGAAGAATAATTGAAAAGCTGAATTATAATTTTGGCAGAAAAAGAAGTGATCATTCCCTGATATTTGTGCAAGAAGGGATGATATAAGGTAAAGTCACTTTCTATATCATTCTCATATTGAGACAATGGCGTGTTGCTAGTTGGGAAATTGGTAAAAGAGAATCTCCTAAAGCTGAGAAGTTTCAATCAAAGATCTGAATTGTCCATTCATATTCTTCCCACATTGCAACCCCACTGCCTTTGGTGGAGGGCAGCATTTGAAAAAACACAGGGAAAACAAAATAAATAAAAAGCAATATTTTGTCAACAGATTGTGAAAAGTGAGTTGTAGATCTTTGTCTGATTGTATAGTTGATGTATATCTTTTGTGAGTGCACTGTCTTTTCAACATGTATATCTAGGCAACTTGCTTTGTTGGACAAGCTGATTATTCATATTTCGTACAAATTACCATCAATACAATTCTCCATCCCTAAAGCAGAAGCAATTTGTTTAAGTCAACTTAGTAGTTGACATGCAGAATATTGTTAATATCATTTGAAGTAGATAAAAAGAGTAACTTAGGGTTGTGTGAAACGTAGCTTGACCAATTCAGGCGAATATTCTTATCGATAATTGTAATTTAATAGTAAAGCAGTATTCCCTACAGAACCGACCAACTGGGCTAGGCGTCAAAAAGCCGTTATTAACCAGTAGCCTAACTGTCCTTAAACCTCTTTTTAGATAGATGGGCCTCACCTCTAATTTAATCTAGAAAAAAACTTAATCACCTCAATGCATTTTTGTAAAATTTTGATCCCCACTTATACGTTTCAATCTTTTTGAAGTAATTCTTTTTTGTTTTGCTTAAATATATTAACAATAGGACATGCAACGTATGAGATGAAAATTTTGGTGTATGAATATAATAAGAATCATTCACATTTTCTTGTGTAACTCTTGTAATCTCATTCTGTTTTCACGAGAAAAAACTGCAGTAAAAGAAATAGTAAATTCAAGGCTCAATACAATATTGTACTTGAGTCCCATTGTTTAGCTGTAATAAGCCGAAAGGATCATGTTTTATTATTGGCAAAGATCATTTTTAGCTCGCGACCGAAACTATTTATATCCTATAGGCACAATAGTGTATAAAATTCATATAATCTTTTATATATAACACACATTTCTGGGTCCATATTATCAATATCTCCATATAACAAATAGAATTTTTTTATCAATTACTATTATCAATATCAGAAGGATCTTTTTAAAGAAAAGTCTAGCTTTAACAACGTTGGTGATTTTTTTTAAAGAATTAATCCAAATAGTCTCTCATCCAAGCGCTTAAACTAAAAATATACCTAAGTTATATACATAACTTAGGTATTATATGTTTATAATTATGTATAATCAATGTATAACCTATGTATATGATTAGAAAAAGTAAACAATAAATATGACACACTATTCATATAAAGATCTCTCTTTTTACTAGGTAAGTTTGAGATATATTACATGAAAAATTATTAAATATTTAATGGAATTTGAAGATAATATATTTTTAGTTGTCGATTACAAGAAAGTGACAAAGAGTTTACTGGGGTGGGGGATATCGGTTGGGCCGTGTTTAGCCCAACATACCATGAGATGAAATGTATTCTATCAGCATCGTTTAATATCTTGTGTGGGCTGGATGAAGTACATAAACAGCCCTCAAAGTAGATGATCTCGAATTTTTGTCCCCACTTGTCCTATGGTCGGAATTTTAAGTTAAATAAGTTTTGTCCCTCGCTTGTCTATGGATAATATTTTTTTTTTTTTAACCTTGAAGTTCTACCTATGGACCAAAAGGGGATCAAAAGTTAAAGACGGTTTCTGTAATTTTTGGGTGTGGGCTGAAGTTACATTCAGAAGATTTGATACGTGGCTACTTCTTTGAATATCTAATGTGGGCTGAAGTTAGATTCATCAAGATTAGGCCCATGGACTTGGCTGTTTTCTAATTTTGCCCAAACTACTAGATTGGGGTGAAATTCAAAAATAATCAAATTTAAAAGTGATAATTGAAAAATAGGCACAATTTTAAAAATAATCAAAATTTAGTCATTTTTTATGTAAAGATAAATGTGAACGAAAACATTGTTAAAAATTCTGAAAATATTCCAGCATAATATACTGGAGTTCCAATATAATATAGTACTGGATTTCCACCATAATATACTGGACCTCCAGCATAATATACTAGACTTTCAGTAAAATACATTGGTCCAGCATAATATGCTCGAAGTTCATACACAGATGTTCCAATCTCCAATATACGATGTTGGAACTTTCCGTTTGTTGGAGTTCCAGCATATTATGCTGGAAGTTCATACACATATGCATCAATCTCTAGTATATTATGCTGGACTTTTTCGTGTTGCAGTAAAATAGTGGTTATTTTTCTATGACTTTGCAAATGCTGGCTATTTTTGAATTACCAGTCCGAAAACTGATTAGCTTGTGCTATTTTCACCTAGATTGGGCAAGACTGATTAGGCCCTTTACATGCCTGATTTTTCACCATTTTAATTTCAATGTATATCTCTTAGTAATTAAGGTTGTACAATAAGGAGTACATCTGTATATGGCGACAATATCATTTCTTTAGAGGACGATGTACTAATATGGATAAAAATGCGCGAAATAAAAGAAAATGGTTCCTTGCTACCTTCCAAATAAATCACAAACTTCTGTTATTCGCATAGTTTCCTTTATCTCATTGGGGTTTTGGCGAAAGAAGCTAAACTTATTCATAACCGGACAGTGCGTTAACTATCGGTAGTTAAAGTTAGTTTGTTTTTCATTTCATTGCGCCTTTACATTTTCGTTTGTGGTTTACCTTGAAAACTAACAGCCTTTACCATATGGATTGTGAGCTGAATACCGGGATTTAAAAAACTGTTGACAACGGAAGCAGATGAATTTAACAAGCTTACATTTGATATTGTACGTTAACAAAAGTAAAGATATCATCAGCACCATATAATAAATCTCTCAGTTCCAATTTACATGCATGCTCTAATAAACTGTCATATTTCTAAAGTTAGAAATCCTTGAATTGCATTGTACGTTTAATTTGCTCTTGAATGATATTCTATTGTATGAATGATGCTGTACGTGTGAGATCAGGAAATTCAAATAAATATACTCAGCCTATACGTCAAAACTCTTTCCTTTTTCAATCTTGAACTTCATAAACAGAAACGGAGGCAGTATTAATCTTTACTGGGAAAAGGGTAAGAAAAGCGCGTTGGATGGGAAAGTGACATAGTATTCAACAGACTCACGTGTAGTGTGTGGATATTTGATTTTCCCCCAAAAAGCCGTCGCCGCCCATACGGCCATGCCGTCTTTTGATCACGTGAGCTTCACCTACATTTCGGACCTTCTATGTCTTCTCGATCACTACTTCCTGGGCCAAACAATCCAAGTTTCAAAACTCTTGATGCCTATAATATTGTGAAACAACCAGTATTAAGTGATCCTTTGCTATTTGCAAATAGTTAGACTACCTCAAGATTTATAGGAGTTTTTCATGTAGTACCTTATTTCAGGAGTCTAGCCTTGTATTGGTCAAAATCTGACCGTCACGGCCGAGTTGACCAATATCCCGCCCAAGTGACCGGGCGGTAAAAGATAACATAGCCCACTCTACATCCCATTCACAACACTCGTCAAGTCGGAATGAGCAATGTCTAAAAGAATGACCAAGGCACACTTGGTGCGAGAGAGCGTCGGACCAAGTAAATGGCAATGATGCCCTGACTATATATAGTAGGGAAAAACCCTTGATTAAGGGGGGCTCCTTTCTTTTCTCTCTCCCAAGCTCTCCTCTTGTAATCTTCATAGGAAAGAAGTAATCTGCAGAAGAACATGTAAAGCTATCTCTCCCATCGATTGATGAGAGTCACAATGTTGAATTTCAATAAGATCGATGATATCTCTTTCATCCTATACTCTGTCTATACTATTAGCTTTTTGATTTGGAACTTATTATGTCTGACAAAGATTTATCCCTTCATTTTCTTTGATTGATTTATTCAAAAAGGTTCCGATATCTTTTGAGTCAAACAATTTGGCGCCGTCTGTGGGGATTTCTCAGTGAAATTTCCTAGTCTCTCCCAGATCAAAGATAAGAAATACGATCACCCACCAAAAAGAGCGCTAAGGTAAAACCAACCCACGCAGGACAAGGGCGCAGCACGGTAGGGGGAGGAGAGCCGAGTAGAATTACCAAATTTAGAAATCCTCGCCCCATCAACCATCGAAATGCAAAACAAGACAAACAACGTTACAAACCTGTTCTCCTCCATCGGACCACCGTGTGGAGGTAAGGAAAGTATCATTTTAACTCACTTTCTGCTCTTTGCTCAAGCAGGAACACAAAGGTCGCGCGGGCGAACGAGTAAAGAAACATCTCAATTAAAGAATGAGAAACCATTGCAAAACAACTGAAACACTGCCTGCTGGTGATGCCTCCAAGCCGGAAGGTAGGAGTCAGACAAAGAAACTACAATGTGTGCGCAGAACGAACCTAAGCAAGACAACAATGTTTCGTATTCTCCGACGTTGCACCCTCTAATGCAAGCAATGTCAAACGAACTGGGATTCCCCCAGCAAACGTTTGATTCTCCAAAAACTGGGACTGACGACGGGTTACTATTTCGATAAGTTCGAAATAAGACCCTTTAAGGCCAAAGGCCTTCGCCAAAAAGAAGAGTTCGACCTCGATCATACGACGGCGGGTTACTATTTCGATAAGTTCGAAATAAGACCCTTTAAGGCCAAAGGCCTTCGCCAAAAAGAAGAGTTTAACCTCGATCGAACGACGAT